TAAGACAATAATCTCATTTAAGTTTCCTAGTAAAACTATACTCCGGTATTTCATCCGATAAAAATCACTATTCATCAATTTTCTTGAAAAGTGTCGATCAACTCCATACATCAAATAAAAGTGTATATACAAGATTATTTAAAAGTGGCATAGACAACCCCTATGCTCACATCAAATAAAACATACATAGTCTGGCATATAATAATCATGTCCATGTAATACAAGGAATTTAAAATAAAATCCATGCATGTCATGCTAAAATATCTACGTCGGCCTTTTGCATCGAGAAGCATCCAACTCATGGATATCGGCACCTGAAAAATGTTCCCCACACGGGGTGAGATGACAATCTCAGTAAACTGAGATTCTCGAAGGATTACTCCGCCCCAAGTTCACTTACAGGTATAATAAGTGTAACAAAATAATAAAATGCATAATGCTTGATATATAGCATATAACTAGTGCAATATCACTATCTACTGGCAAGAGACAAGTATGCATTACGCACGTCTGCAACATACCAAAAATATATAAAGATTCCCCTCATACCTTCCACTCTTCTTGTCATGTAGGTACACACTATCAAACCTGCATATATATCAGCACATTATGCCACAAATTATTTTCCAAAAATATGTCATGCACATAAACCAACCTCCCATGGAGTTTGGCGGAACAAACAGAGATTAACCCGAAGAACCAAAAGCTTACATATCGCCGCTAAGTCCTCCAACAATAACTCGGTGTCCAAGAGATCACCAATGTGATATCCAACAATGTCACAATTTATTTCCACAGTGTATATACAATCAATATACAAATTCTAGTCTATAATTTGTAGAAAGGCTCTATTTCGTTTTCGTTTTCCACGCTTTAGGCTTTTTCCAAAGCCACAAGCACTTAATCTCATAGGTTCTGACTTAAATTCATTTTACAAAGCTCCCTATTGTTCAATTAAATGTCCTATACCAATAAAAAGGGTTTTGTCCGAGCAATACAACAGAAAACTCGAAAACAGGGCAATATCCGCATATTTGTCGGGACATATCCAGATATTTACAAGTGCATATCCGGGTATCCATATCTGGATATTTGGCCATGTAAGTGCAGGTTTGCCTTCTACGCGAAGATATCCATCAAGGTTCCATTTTTACCATCAACAAAGGTCCAAGCTTGAGTTTTTAGGTATTTTCATGCTAGTAGTCACCAAGTTATCATGTTTACTCATTTTACATGTCCAATACTCAATCTTTTTGTTAGAAACTCAAGAGAAAATGTTGAGACATGTACCCAAAGCTTCTAAAACAGAAAAAGGAAAAATCTTCAAGGCTTGCCACACCCAACCTCCGTCCAACCATGAACATGCAAATCCCTTGGTATTTGTTGGTCATTTCTTCTTTAAGGTGGTTCCATGATGGTTGTGTAAATGACTCCAGCCCTCCAACCTTACAAGGCAGCAACTATGGCACTCCAAGAACAATTCTTTTTCTTAGAAGATGCTAGCTTTCAAGTGTTTAATGTCATCAAGAAGGGAGGAGGTGATGAAAGGTGAAAGCTTTGGTTCATGGAGAAATGGAGTTGTTTCTTGAAGAAGAAGAGAGAAAAATGCTAAGTGTGAAGAGTGTTCTACATAGGAAAATTAGAGAAATGAGAGTAAGAGTGTTAGTTTTCCTATTTAGGATAAACTCACTTAATTCAACCGGTAAAGGCTCATACAATGCACCTGCTCAACTCTCTATTAATTTCAAACTACAATGTCTTATAAATTTTATGGAGTAATTCTCACCAATTTAATTTAAGTTTTGGGTATTTTTAAATACCCGCTGTTTCTATCGCGGTACCCGCACTATTTTCATTTTTCAATAAAAATTGACTTAGTTCAATAATTATCATTTCCCTCCAATTATCCTATTTCATCAATCCGTGTGAAAATTTCAACGGAGTTCATTAAATAAATATTATGTTAACGCTTTATTCTTCGACAGAAAAGCAAGATTTGCGATGCACTATTTTTCGTCGAAAATTTTGATGTAAATTTATTTCCGTAAAAAATTTCATCGGATACTAAATTCTGTCACCTTTGGATGAAGCGCATTTCAACGAAAAAAAAGTACTTTTCGTCGAAATTTTCATCATTTACAACGAAAAAATTCCATCAAAATATGATATTTTTAGTAGTGTGAAAAGTAAATAATTAATTTTTTTAGAAATTTTAAATTTAATTTTATTTGTAAATATAGTAACTATATTAATTTTTTTAGAAAGGGTAAAATTATAAAAATATCTTATTATACCTTTATATTTCTCTGTTACCATATTTTTAACTCCCAAACAAGGGAAATGAATACCTTTCATTTTCCCTCCTTCTCCTTTAGATCCCCTTCATTTTCTTCCCCTCTAAACTCCCAAACAAAGCCTTACACACCAGATGCGAAAACAATATTTCATGAATTGCTCTGATTATTTTGGTACATCGAGTTACTCTGATTTTGTTTAAACACTAGAAGAGGAAGCAATATGAAGGTATTATGACACTATTGTATGGTAGTGGATCCTCTGTGTGTTATTTGATATGACCATGTAATGTGAGAAGACCCTAACCATACAAAGGTGAATCAATAGTAATGAAGAAAGAGAGAAAACATTATCACTGTTGATTTGTTCACTGATTGTTAAGATCTTCTCACATGACATGTCATGTTAAATAATATCAATAGAATACATATTTTTCTTTTTTTTTTCCCCTTAAGCTGCAAATATTCAATGACAGATCATGTTGATGGTTCTAGCTCTCAGTATCTTCCCAGTTTCCTCACAAATTTGTAATTAAAGTTCCGTGAAACTTTTTCATAGAAGTTGGCATAAATTCTAGACAGGCAAAATAAGCCAACCTGCCCCGACTCTCCCCACCCCACCTTTAACCCGCCATTGATGAGGTGGGATGACAGGTCAACCCACTTAAAATTAAAATATTTAAATATATTAGTGATCTTTTATTTCTAATCTCTAACATCTAAATATATCTACAGTATATAACAAGCATCTAGCAATCAGTTAAAGAAAAAAAGAATGATTTAAACCAATAATTTTATTTAATATAACTATACAAATAATATCTTAAGATTAATTAATAATTTTAGTGTCATTATATAGCAAAATAATGACATAAAATATCTAAATATTTGCAAATGAACACATCATTACATCCTGTAACTAGGATTTTATAAGTATCAATTGACTTGTATAGTCAAAAAACAAACTAGCTTCTTTGATGTTGTATTAATTTAAATCAAAACTAAATAAAAAATAATATTTACAGTAATATAATAATATTATGACCCGAAAAGAAAAGACTTTGTCCAACATAATAGCCATTTATATTTGACCAATCAAGTCATAATCTAACATTTAGTATATAATTTTTTTTTAAAATTACATGCGGGTTAATCTGACCTCTATAACCCATTTTGTAACGTTTGGCCGCTTCAAGAATCAATGACTATCCGCACATACTAACACGAGACTTTTCAGTGTGCTTTTTCCTCATTCGCACACTTCTCGGGAAAACTTGCCAGGAGGTCACCCATCCCAGAATTGCCCCAAGTCAAGCACGCTTAACTATGGAGTTCTTCCGTTCCGGGCTACCGAAAAGCAGATGCATCTTGTTAGCATAAGTAGTACCAATTAATTCTTATAAGTTATCCAAACTGTGCAGTCTTATACCTGCACAGCCTTTGGAATCTCTCTCTTTCGGGTGTCGATTTGATTCATTCATACATGTAACCCCCCGCTGGAAGCCTGTCAGGAGCCGCTCCTTGTCCGTGCCTTTTTACACCGGCGATCACTCCCCGCCCTCGTCAGCGCTCAGGATGTTACATGCCCACCAGGTTCTGTCTGGTTCGTCCTCAAACCACACCGTACTGGATGAGAGGCCCTGCTCTGATACCATTAAAATGTAACACCCCGTTCTAGAACCGGTTTGTTATCATTACGTACGGCATTAAGCGCAGTTACAATCACATCGGTTCAATTAGAAAAACGGATAAATTTTTCCTTTTAAACAAGCCGAATTTAAAATAATCAAATGCGTGATCATAACCATATTTGCTTTGCGGAATAGTGAGACTAAGCTTAGTATCATATTCCCATTTTATTAGACAATACGTCGTTAAATGTCTTCCTCTCTTAAAATTACTAAATTATTTAAACACTTCCTTTATGCTTCCCAACCTCCTACTATGTTATAGGATTTTTCATTAACTACGCGTGGGTTCAAGCCGCGCTCAAATCGGAGCTCCGTAGCTCAAGCGCGCTATATGCGTGAAAATGAGTGAAGGTCCCTAACTTTTGGCGCTCAAGCGCACATTTGGGCGCTCAAGCGCGCAGACAACCGCCCAAGCGCCCGGAAAGACCTGATGATGACCAAAATGCTTCGCAGCGGGCGCTCGAGCGCCCATTCGAGCGCTCGGGCGCGCATACCGAGACAGTACCAACCTAGTTTATGCAAATAGTCATAACTTGAGCTACGGTGCTCCGATTTGAGCGCGGTTTGAACCCACGCGTAGCTAATGAAAAATCCTATAACATAGTAGGAGGTTGGGAAGCATAAAGGAAGTGTTTAAATAATTTAGTAATTTTAAGAGAGGAAGACATTTAACGACGTATTGTCTAATAAAATGGGAATATGATACTAAGCTTAGTCTCACTATTCTGCAAAGCAAATATGGTTATGATCACGCATTTGGTTATTTTAAATTCGGCTTATTTAAAAGGAAAATTTTATCCGGTTTTCTAATTGAACCAATGTGATTGTAACTGCGCTTAATGCTGTACGTAATGATAACAATCCGGTTCTAGAACAGGGTGTTACACATTTCAACCCACTCCGTATATAGGCAAGTTATTTGGATTGGTGGATTGAAATACACGACCCAAACTGCCCTGTTTTGGCAAGTTGACAGGTTGACTGTCAGGTTCAACCCGTTATGCCATCTGGTTACAAGTTCTAGTCACCACCAAGTCTTTACAATTGAAACATGAAGATCAGAAGTATTAATAGTGCTCAACATATCACAAATGTTTGAAAACAAAACACCATGGGTGATATAAGTATAAAATGGCTTATATTTGTTTGAGTATATGACATACGCCCATGGTGTGACCTGACATATTCTTTGTAGTCTACATTTATTATACAGGATTTTCTCTTTCACCAGTGTCTGCAGGTTGAACCATGTTAAATTTTGTACCTTTTCTCTTCCCCATTTTCCATTTGTACACCTGGTTTACATTATACAAGAATAGGATAGAATCATTTGCATTTGATATAAAATTAGAAAGCAAAAGAATGTAGGTAAACTTGCAAGTATTCAACATTTAAAGGACTAAACCATTTAAATCTTGTCATTATATTTTTTCCATTCTTGAAGTTGATATGAGATGAACTCTTCTCCCTGATTGCAATGTTAGGGGCTCAAAAACAAAAAGCTCTTTATAACTCGCAAATTATGCGTACTATTCCTGTCTTCGCAAATATTCTCTTTATAACACTACGATTTTCAGCATCATTAGGTTATATATATGATCACTAATTGTTGAATATTTGCTGGGGAAGTATTTAACTTTTGCCAAAAACTTGTAATTCACGTGGAATGAAAAATATTACAAGTTTTTGAAAAAAAAGTTACTCATTTCCGCAATAATTTTATTTACATAATTAGTGATCAAATTTGTTTTTGCAAAAATGGCCCCAGGTGTAAAATATTGCAATATCCCCCACCGTGCGGGTGGGACAATGTGGTAGAAGTACCTCACCATCAAATATTTCAATACAAAGAAAGAACAAGTTCAATCATCAGTACTTACCTTTGGCAACTAATACTTGATGCCCCAAAGCACAGAAGAATTTTTGGCATCAATTGCATACTTCAGTTCAGGTGACACACTCCCAGACATTCTATGTAATAACAACTTTGACCTCAAAACTGCCAGCAACTCCTTGTGACGTGATTCCTTTCTCCTTAGTACTTGTATGTAAGCATGAAACCCAAGCCATTCCACTTCTTCCCTCTCCAACTTAAGAATTGGCTTGATCTCAGAAGCAAGACGCATGGAATGCATCCTTTTCTTTATCAGCAGGTACAAATATCTGGCAGTTGACCATGAAAGCAAACATAATTGACTAATGGTTATAATTCCAATAATTGAAGTATTCGGAAAGTAATACATAATCATTTGATTGGGACCTTACGTATGCGTTAATTTAATAAGAAAAGTTAAAATCAAATAAAAAATGAGAAACTGCATAGGTCATACCAGTTGTCCATACCTCAAAGATCTCTGAATAATGTCTGAGATATATCTTTTGTGAAGTTTGCAGACGAATGATAGCTCACGAATATAACAATGGAATTTCATTGCACATAACAGAAATACTTGATAAATATTTAATCTGACAACAGCTGCTGAATTGATATTTGAATCGAAGAATATAGGATGGCATTTAGGTCTTAGAAAGAAACACAGCTTCTCCTTCAGATGATTGCCTGGTTTACCTTGCCAGCAAACAGTAAGTGTCGAGCTTAAATGGTTATTCAAGTACCTGTTTGGCATATGGAACTACTTAATCCAGGAAAAGAACCTAAAAAAGATTTGATACTTAATTCCAAATAGCTTACAGAAATGTACATAAGATTCAGATGACAACTTCAAATAATGTGGAGTTCCATTTATGATTACAGGTAAACAATCGAATAAACATTATGCATCTGAACACTGTTCAGTAGCAATTTGTCTGAGACAATTATCTTAAAATCAAGAATGAACATCTCAACCACCAAACCATAGTTGCAGGATAGGGGAGAGTCTGTAGATTTCTAAAATTATTCCTATTCCATAGTTGATTCTAATTAACCCCTCCCCAGAGGTCCTAGTCCTGTCAAGAACAGATCAACAGAATACCAATTGAAATTCAATCATGCATAAACTAAAATAAGTCATTCCAAAGTACTCTCACATTGCATCTGAACAGCCCTAACAGGAAACTTGATGGTTAAATCCTAACATATCATTTTAGCATGTGTAGAAATCATTATTTTAAAGACAAACAAGCATAGTATGCATCCAGCTAACTCAGTCTATCAGATTTACAATTCAAATACGAAGGCAAAAACCTATTGAATTTACAGAGAGAGTGGAGACCTGTATGGAGTTAATTTTCTCCTGTTTTTGACATTTTGTTTCTTTCACTTGTTTTAATGCTTTAACATTGAACTGTTCTATTCTTTTTTCTTTTTCTTTTTTATCTTTCAAGGTGTGGTCACACCCTTTGAGTGTGAGTCTAATCCTCATTCACAGTATTAAAAATTCCACAGCAAAAAATTTCTTTCCCATTGACTCGAACCTTTGAGTGTCAGAGTGTCGATGTTGGGCCCTTAAGCCCATTTGACAAGGTATATCACAGGAAGAGGAAAGCCCGACTGATTGGGGAAAATGGTAATATAATAGTAAAGGGCAATGAGGAAGGAAAGTTTGTTATAGGAGAAGCCACGTGGAGTGCTAAGAATGGAGAAGAGGAAGTGGGAGAAAATGTTATAAGGCAGTTATACACAGAGAAAGAGGGGCGCAAAAATATTGAGAGTGAAGGGAGTGGAGCTGCTGAGTGTGGTGCTTAGCTGCTGAATTCTTGAGGTAGTCTCAAGAGGAAGCGGGTAATTCTCTGGAGGGAGAGGATCATCTATCAGTTGGGTAGTAGTCATGGAGTCTATGTGAATTCGTACGAGTCTAGTAATTCCATGTTAGTAGTAGATTGTTGCTTTGGGTTGTATTACTGCATTACTATTTTTATGAAGGTTTGGTGTAGCTTTGGTGTCTGTATAAATCGTTAAGAGCCAGTTGATGCTCTATTTTCCTAATTTGTCATGGAGTCTGTAATAGGACTTAATCTCCCATGGATGATTGAGTAATAGAAGTATTTCTTGTGTTTGTTGTTTAATTTTCTGCTGTCATCTGACGGTACCATCAGTCGAGAAGTGTTAGGGAGTGTCGGACACGACACTTCAGGTTTTTTGAAGTATCGGCACAATATAAATGCTAATAACATGATGAATCAAAAAGATTTGAAAAGATATTAACTTTGTGTAGTCAGCCTGAATTTCCATAGTGGAGGAATTGATAAGAAGTCCACTCCATCGAAGAAATGATGTGGAACCATCTTCACCCACATAAACCCTGTTCAATTGGGAACCTGATATCTGTTCTACATCAAAGTTTGCACCAAACTTTTTCTCATTCATGTAGCAGTTGTAACCACGAAATCCTCTTTGCAGCCTGGAGAAAAAGCTAGTTGCCTGCTTCTTTGAGGTTGATATAAAAAGGAAATCATCAATAAATCGCATAAGCATGTAACATGGAGATGAGACTTTATCATCACTGTTAGTGTGCACAACATTAGTCTCTTTGCAACTGCCAGATTCAAGTGTTTTTTCAAGAAATGGAAATATTGCATGTCTCTCCAAATGTCCGTAATATAAGGAGCAAAGCAAAGCTGACAAAACGCCTCCTTGGGGAATACCAACACCTTGCAAGTAAAATTTTCCATCAAACTGCAACACATTGTGCTTCACATGCTCTATAAGATATGAAAATAGCACTTTGTTTTTCACATGCTTCCACCGCTCCTGCAACAATAAAAAAGGTTAAATTGAGCATAGTATAGAAATTTTTAACTAAAACTTTTAGTCCTTAATAGTTTTTGAAATAGAGAACTTTCCACAATATCCTCTTTTAAAGTAAGCAACTTTAATATACTTGAGATTGAATAATGGTATATTGAATAATTGTGTTACAATGTGCAAGATCTCTTCATTTAAAGAGACTAAAAGACTTAATGGGCTAAGCCCACAAGATGTAGGACTATTCTATTATATACACTGAACTATTCTAACAACTACTCTAACACTCCCCCTCAAGCTGGTGTGTATATATTGTAAGCACCTAGCTTGCCACAAATGTATTCAACCCAAGGATCTCTAAGAGCTTTAGTGAAGACATCCGTGAGTTGATTATTGGAGTTGGCAAATGCCGTTTTGATTTCTCCTGACTGAATCTTTTCTCGAATGAAATGACAATAGATTTCTATATGTTTGGTTCTCTCATCAAATACAGGATTAGATCATATATGTAGTGCAACTTGATTGTCACAAATGAGTGTCATGGGCTGCTTTTGTTCACAAAGATGGAGCTCCCGAATCAACTGTTTTAACCAGATTAGCTCGAAGGTAGCAACTCCCATTGCACAATACTTGGCCTCTACACTAGAGCAGGCAACAACAGTTTGTTTCTTACTTTTCCAAAAAATCAGGTTTCCTCCAAAGAAGACACAATAGCCTGAAGTAAAGCGCCTATTCGAGGGTGATCCTGCCCAATCGACATCTGAATAACCACAAATTCTGTATTTCCCTTATCTGAATGTAATAAGTCTTTCCCTGGTGCTCCTTTGATGTACCAGAGGATCCTCACAGCAACATCCCAATGAGAATCACAAGGATAATCAAGGAACTGATTAGCCACACTAACAACAAAAGAAATGTCCGGCCTAGTCACAGTGAGATAATTAAGCTTCCCAATCAACCTCCGATAACGTCCAGGATCAGATTATGGCTCTCCATGTCCGGGTAGTAATTTGATAGTAGGATCCATGAATGTATCAACTGGCTTACACCCCAACATACCAGTCTCCTCTAGGATATCCAAGGCATTTCCTTTGACAGATAGAAATTCCCTGTCTAGACTGTGTCACTTAAATCCCTAAGAAGTAACGAAGCTTACCAAGATCCTTTGTTTGAAATTGACTAAACAAATACTATTCTAACTGGTGAATCCCAGTTTGATCACTTCCAATGAGAATAATGTCATCAACATAGACTAACAAATATATGCACTTGTCAGGAGATGTGAACCTATAAAACACAGAATGATCAACCTTATTGCGGATTAAGCCAAAAGCCTGAACAGCAGAACTGAAACGGCTGAACTATACCCGAGGAGACTGTTTGAGGCCATATAAGGACTTATGAAGTCTGCATACCTTCCAAGACTCCCCCTGAGCAACAAACCCAGGTGGTTGCTCCATGTAAACCTCTTCTTGTAAATCACTATGAAGAAAAACATTTTTAATGTCTAGTTGAAGGAGTGGCCAGTGACAAACAGCAGCGAGGGCAAGAAACATACGGACAGACGCCATCTTAGCAACAGGAGAGAAAGTGTCACTATAGTCAAGACCAAAAATCTGAGTAAAACCATTGGCAGGCGCGCCTTGAGACGATCAACATGGCCATCAGGCCCAACCTTGAAATTAAAGACCCACCGACAACCAATAATAGACTTCCTCGGAGGAGCAGGAACAAGATCCCAAGTGTCGATGGAATGAAGAGCAATCATCTCATCAAGCATCGCTTGGCGCCACCCTGGATGGGAAAGTACTTCACCTGTGGTCTTAGGAATAGAAACAGAAGAAAAACTAGAAACATAGGTGAAATGAGAAATAGTAAGACGGTCATAGTTTAAAAAGGTATAGAGAGGATAAGGGTTATGAGTAGTACATATACCTTTTCTTTGGATAATGGGAAGAGCCTCTGGTGTAGGAGCCGGAAGGAAAGAGGTGACAGGAGAAGGCGATGAGTCATCCAGGGTCAAGTCCATAGGAGGCACTTTTTGACAACCCTGGTAGGTGAGAAAAGAACGATCCTCAAGGATGGAGGCACTTTTCTCTGGAAGAGAGTCACCTGAAGTTGGTAAAGACAAGTCAAGAAAGGGAACAGGAAGAACCTGATCAACCTGTGACAACATAGATGGTTAGAATGAAAGGGTTGTTGATCAAAAAAAGTGGCATCAGCAGAAACAATTTAACGCTTAAGATCAGGAGAATAACAACGATAACCCTTTTGAAGACGAGCATAACCAAGAAAAATACACTTAAAAGCTTTGGATGTTAACTTGTCCTTACCAGGAGTGAGATCATGAACAAAATAGGTACAACCAAAAACATGTGGAGATAGAGGATAAAGAGGAGCATCTGAAAACAATAGTTTATAGGGAATGTCATTGTTAAGCACAGAGGAAGGCATGCGATTGATGAGAAAACAAGAGGCTAGTACAACATCCGCCTAGAAGTGAAGAGGAACCTTCATGTGAATAAGAAGGGTACGGGCAGAGTTTCCTTTATTTTTACAAAAATCCCCAAATTTGCCAATGTGATCTAAGACCTCAAATGTACATAATAATCATCGGGTGGCACACACACAAGGACCAACAATGCCTTGGGGCACTTACAACCCATCACAATTTATATTAATTATACAATACGCATCACATTGCTTCCTTTATTAATACTTAACACGTTTCAATCATCAAAGTCCAATTGCATGCATTTGCTAATCATACACATAATCATAATCCTAAAATAGGCCTAAAGCCCTTCCATCATATTACATATACTTCATAGTTACATCAACTCATGTATAATTTACAAGGCTTCCCATGACATATTACAATTACAACTTTAATCTCCAAATAATACATGATAAAGAAACCTCAAAATGACATAATCTAAATACAACTAGACTTAGGCAAAATGACATAAACAAATATGACTATGAATCTCCTCCTACAAACATATGAAATGTTCATGCCCTAAGTCTAAACTAGCCCAGTGGCCATTGTTGTCAAAAACTAGTGTAAAAACGTAAAATCTTACGTTTTTACGTTTTTACTAGAGTGATGCGTGTTAAAACGCAAGTAAAAACTGTCCTTGGTAAAAATGCCGTGTAAAAACGATAAAAACTTACGTTTTTACTGTTTTGACAGTTTTTACTTGAGACGAAAAAAAATTAAAAAAAAAGATTTACAAAAAAGAAAATAAAAATAAAAACCTAATTTTTGTTTTCCCCAAATCATATGCATAGTATCCTGATATCTTTTTGTTTGGATATATGTGTTTTATAATTATGTCTTATAAAGCTACAATTCTATTATAAGATATGTTATGAGAATCGTTTTGTGTTTTTGGATCATTGTGTGCATTGAAAGAAGTGAAATTATATCCTAATGAGCGATGATCCAAAATCTGCAGTGTATGAAGCAATTAGAGCATATTGGATATCCATTATTTGTTAGTTATCACTGTTTATAATTTTGATACTTGGTTATCAAAACTAATTTTCCTTTTTAGATAGATAAGTAGTTCAACACACATGTTCATTATGTAATATTTTTTTTACATGCATATTTATAATTTTGTATCTGGACCTTAAGTAGTAGAAAGTAGAAACTTTACGTTTCGTATCGTTTCTACGTTTTACGTTTCTACCACCCCTTTCCGTTTCTACGTAGAAACTCGAGTTTGACAACATTGCCAGTGGCCATCAAAATGAAAAAGATAAAATACCCCATCTAGTCATCCTACGGGCTTCTTGCCCGCCGCTCCTGCACCACAGCTACCTCCTAAAATAAAGCCCCCAAGACGGGGTGAGATATACGAATATATCTCAGTAACCCAGAGGTTCCAGAGTATACTCTGCCCAATGGCTCACTTTAATGCATATAAATAACATAAAATAACATCTTGAAAATGGGATAAAGCAAGGGATTTAGAGAAACTGGGGAACATAGGGATACAAAATACGACGAAGCTGGAATGGTCGATGCCAATACCACGCAACGTCCTGCCTAATGGCTCGGCATATAAGCCTACGGGTCTCAACCAAGGCGTGTTCCTAGAACATCCAACCAAGGCACCCCTCCATCCATATACACCCGAGACTTCCTAGTGTGCTTCTATCCGGATCACACACCACGACCCTAGGTCAACTGGAACTCCCTCTCGGAGACCTATCCAGTGGAAGTCAACGCCCGCAGGCAAACTGTCTACTGGCCAGAGACTCGGTACATCCTATGTACCAACATACATACTAAATGCATCAATCCAATCACCATTCACGTTTTTTTTTCTTATCAAGGAATAAATCGCTTGACTTGTATGACTTAGATGTCTCGTATTTCTCGAAAAAACGATTCGATTGATGGGATTTGGTATAATACTTATGAGATCGACGAGATTCCAATATTTCTTCTTAGAACGTCTTGATTTGACCCATAAGCGGGACCACCACCCCATAGCATGTTGCCGCCAGAAGCAGAACTCCGTATTTCTTCTAGAGAATCTCCTAATTGTTCCAGAGCAACTAGAAAGAGATTCCTTAACCAGAAAGAATTCAGTTCAGATGTAGGATACCTATCCAGAAGTTTTCGCAACTCAATCATGTATGATGGAATCATCAAAGATTTGACCTTTTCGAACTCTGTCTGTAACTCACTAGAGACTCGAGAAACAAAGAGAAGGTGTGTACGAACGAGATATCCAGCAACAAGAATAAGGAAAAGGATTAAATAGAGGAACTCCTGAACATTTAGCGATCTCAAATGTGTCGATATCAATGGTGACTCATTATTTCGATGAAGAATTTCCTCAGACAGAAGAAGATTATGTAAACACTTACTCGAAATCTCACTTATCCGATTCCATTTTTTTTTAGACAAGGACTCCGTTTTTTCCTCTTTTCGGATGTTAAATATTTCTCAGAACATGGAGTGTGAATCAAACCCATATTTGAATTGAAAT